CAGAAAATTTTTAAATAATACATTATAATAATTTAAAATTACCGGGGGAACTAGTTGTTGTAACTTCCTTCGATGAATTGCAATCGTCGATTGGTGTGGTAACTGGTTCTGTGGACAATGATGAAGATGTCGAGGAAGGAAGACATTCTTGTTGTAATGAACGAGACGGTGATTTGTGCTCTGAAATATCACCTTCCGAAGAATTATACGGGTCAATTTCAGAACTCTCATTATCGGAGTCCTCCCTTGAGGATGGTATAGAGTTACTTTCTGATCCATCATCATCGGAGGAATTGTTTGTTGAATCGTTTTCAGAAGACTCATCAGTAGCCAAAGAATGAACTGATTCATCTAAATCAATTATTTTGGGTTTACCCTTTTCCCATTTGTCTCGCTTATTTATACGATGGATTACATTATCTATTACATTACCTTGATCTTTTTCTGGAGTATAAGGCGATTCTTCGTTCTTACTTTCTAATGTGGATAAATTTCCACCTTCCTCAGGACTGGGTGACGTACTACCATCTGCTACTGAGCCACAATAATTATTTGATGAAGTTGTACTCGTTTTTACATCGTCATGTTCACCAGAAGAATTGTTGGTAGTACTTTCTTCTAAATCAGAGTTACTACTTGTATTTTCCGATATATTTTTTCCATCTTCGGAATTTTTTGGTTGTAAGCTAATCGGTATGTTTTGGAAATCGGTTTCGTTACACGAACTAATTATTTTAGATATTATCATAATTAGTTCCCCAAGTAGGTAAGGTGTAGTTTGATATTCACTGGTTGGTGCCGAATCCACACAATTAGCCACCACGGCAGCAAAACACAACACAACAAACACCATTTTATCAACTGCTAATTCGCAAATAAAATAACCACCTTTTATAAGTGCGCAACAATTATAAATAAACGTAAAAAAACTTACGCATAAATAAAAATAACTACAAGAATGCAAAACAATTTTGTCATGTCCTGTCACATTATATAGGGGTAAAAACAAGAAGTTCTTACAATTTCGAAGGAATGTAATTGCTTTCGAGTGTCAAAAGTAATAGCCGAAACGCAAATATTTATTAACATTTATGCTGCTTGCATAAACAAATTGACAAACTCATGAGGAATTTTAACAAATAATATGTTGGTAGTTGACCTTTTAAATGTTTATTTGAAAATCAACACTTCCATTCAAAAAAGAAATCAATTATTTTTACTTATTTAAGTACATATATGAAACTGTTGTGCTAAACAATAAAATTATATAATGTCATAGTGATATGATAAGGAAATAGTAATATTCAGTAGACATCTGCGTGAATTATTGTACCGATTTTTTTAGCCTTTTGTAGTAGTTTCACAATTAATTTAGTTATTTTCCATCTACAACTTGCCGATTAAATCAAGAAATTCTAACAATTTTTTGGCAGATAAGAGTAAGTTCAGGTTGGTTGATTTTTTATTTTGATACGTTTATTATATAGAAGGACATTAACAAAATGAAACTTCTCAATAATTTTTCTAAATCACCAAATATAGATCGCGATTCAGACTTGTTGGTGTTGTCAGCGGCTTTAAAGGAAAATAGAATAAAATTATCATTTATAGGAAGAAATGTTGACAATTAGTGGTATTCGTAATGTTTAACAAAGTTTTATTTTTATACGATGAGGATTTTCCAGACGTTTCGTTTGAAACTGCGCCAAACATTTTCAATAGAAACGGTTGCTTCGTAGTATTCTTCTCGGTAGTTGAGGAGCGTCGGACCACGGCTCGTTAGCCCGGAAAATCTTCATCGTATAGACTCCTGCCGTGAAAGCCTACAAGCATATTTTATTTTTACATAAAATCGATACTGTACATACATGTTAAAATAAAGAATGATGTAAATATATTTGCAATTGATAACTATGCACATTCAACATTTGCGTGCCATCTTAGTTTGATAGTTACAGTTATTATAGAAGAAGCGAGTAGTTTTAAAAAGCATCAATTTGTGAAGTTATCGAGATGACAATTTCAATGACAAGGGAGTGAGTTCAAAATGAAGAGATGGGTGCATCAAAATCTCATCACATCTCATTTAAAGAGAGTAGAGGTCATTTAAATTCATACATAAACATTCTTTGATCCAAAAATTTACATCATTACATTATACAAATAATAGAAGAAATAATTTCAACTGGGTAAATTTCTCGGAAAGAAGAGAGATGTCCCACTAAATCTTACCAAATCTCACCAAGGAAGAAGAAGGGTTCAAATTAAAAGAAAAACAACTCACGTAATTAGTGTTCTCAACAATGTTAGTTTATATTTAAAAATTAATGCACTAAGGGCTATTAAAATTTAAAGAACAAATTGTTTAGGCAAAAATATTTATTACTATACCGAAGAAATAAAAAGCACTTGGTATATTTCAATCCATTATCTAAAACTCTAATAACAATTGTTTTGATTATTGGTGTAACTGTGTAAGTTAGGGGAACCCCACAATAAGCACAGAACTTCCCTAGTACACAGTTTACGACAGTTCAAGTATTTAATAAAAAATGTTAGTTTATATCACTCGAGTTGAATATGACAAAACGTATCTGAAACGCCATTTGAGTAAATACTTAGTAAAATTAACAACCAATTCTGGACACCGCTGTAGCCAGAACACCTCTTAGGGGGAGGGGGGCAACATAGAAAATTATACAAAAAATCTTAAAAATAATGACAAAATATTTTTTTTTTAAATCGAAACTTTTAAGAAATCAAACGTATTCTCCTGCCTTTTAATGGAAGAATATCTATCACATCATCGCTGGGTATATCAATATCACGGTGAATTGCCATAACAGCTAACCCAGATAGTCGCTCTTGGCAGCACGAATTTCTCAAATAAGTTTTTGATCTTTTAAATATTGAAAATGTACGCACTGGTTTATATATTATTATTTGTTATT